CCCCAAACACACGTTTGATAAGAATAAAAGCTCCCTGCATGAAACGCCTTTTGTATTCAAGCTAGGATACTGCTTCTGCCATAGAGCCTCAAAATGCAAAACTGATTTTGAAGCCCTGATCCAGGGCTGCAGAACTCTATGCTCTGCTTCCTTCATTAGAAAATATTATCTCATACAGGAAAAAAGAAAAAGGAAAAAAACAAAAAAGAACAAACAAACAAAAACTCCAACACAGTGAATTCCTTACCAAGCTTCAAATATTCCTAAATATTTTAAGGAACTTGGCCAAATAGCAGAGGGGAACAGCACTATCATTATGGCAAAGTGGCAATTTCCCCATGTTTAAAAGTAATTAATGAGATATGGTGCCCATAATAAAAGACCCATCCTATGATTTCCTCTCCCTAAGTTTTGTTGTTTTTACTGACTCAAGAAGTGCAGCACAAAACTGTCACGCTATAAGTCCATGACATATAATGTTCTCTGACATTTTTGCAGTATGCAGACCCACAGCAAGACAAAGGCTCCTTGAATTCATAAATAACATTTATTCTCTGAAACATCTCCAGTTGCTAAAGCAATCAGAAGGACAAAATATGAACTATGTTCTAAAATTCCACAGATTTATTTAGTGGTGAACAACAATGGAGAGTGTCTTCTCTCTTCTCTCTTTCCTACGAATACCAGTAATAAATGTTCCTTCCCTCTTTCTGCCAAAATCAGCACTTCCAAAGCTTAAAATATGTAACAGATGGCTTTCTGCTTTGCAGCCCTATTCCTGCATTCATCCATCACAAGTGAGAGCTTTCAGAGAAAAACAACTTACCGTTACGCACCAAAGCGGCATCAAGGCGGCAGAGCATCCCACAGTCCTACAGCTTTTACATTAATTAATGTAACTACCTGTGCCTCCACGTCACCGTAACCTTTGATGGTTAAAATCCAGGTTCCTTTGAACAGCTGGGCAATGATACCGGCTCCTTACCTGCCCTCAGTCTTCCACTCTGTCCACTGTCCAGTTGCAAACTTATATTCGAAAAGATCATTCTTATTCTTCAAATTGGAATTGGAGTAGATGTCTCCAGTGTAGCCACCTGCCCAATGACATTTTTATTAGACTGTTTCAACAGAGCACATATATTTGCAGTCAGTAGATGAGAAAAAAAGAAAAAAAAAGTTTAGATCACTCAAACAAAAGCCATTTGGCTCCAGGAATGCTAAATACAGAGGCTTGTCCCCCAGCCTTACTTCTACTGCTACGGCAGCGAGCTCCAAATCCTACTTTAGACAACAAGCAAAACTATTTCAAAGTTAACGTCCAAATCGCCACCAACCACAAAAAATTGAGTAAGTTGAATAAGATCCTTTAACACTTCATGGAAACCATATTCCTGCGTTTCAGAAAGGACGGGCGCACGGGTCTTCGCAAACAGCCCGAGCCGTGACCCGGCGCCGTCTTACCGAACACGAACATGCTGCTCCCGTAGACCACGGCGGAGTGGTGGTACCGCGGCGCCGGCGGCGTCCCGGTGGTGAAAGCCCTGCCAAGAGCGAGGGGAGCCGCGCTCAGCCCCCGCCGCCCGCTCCGGGCTGCCGCGGGGATGGCGG